GTTTTTGGAACCAAATTTTTTAACAAAATGTTAAATTTTTCTATAAAAAGAACAAAATCAATTTATTGTTTTTACCTTGCTGAAGGTAGGCGATAATGTTACAAAGGAAGGAGGACCTTTAGGATAACTTGTTGCCTTCTTTCTTTGTTTTATTTTATATTTTTGTCCTTTCTATTATCGAAACTCACTTGAACAGTCGGAGAACAATGGATAGGGTCTTTTATTTCCCAAGAGACTAAAGCTATGGTCACCAGTTACTCGCTTCAATACCTGTGTGCACTGGTTAAGTTTTAATTTGTTTTTATTTTTTAAGTGTCTGGTCAGAATAACATATTACAGTGACTGACATTGCAAAAAAACTATCTGTTGTCACTAAATTCTCGTGACATTTTCAAGCGATTTTCCATTGTTAATTTATATTTAACAATAAAATATTTTATGATATCTTTCGAAAGTTTGTTAACTAAATGTTAAGTTTGAGCAAACTTAATATAAGTCTGTTAACAAATTTTACTTTTACGTGAATGTGGCTCGTATTAACGCTATAGATAGTTATTAATTATTATAAACTTTTCTTTGATGCTTAAATTGTAAAATCAAGAAATAATTACATATTTTACAAATAGATATCGACATATTTTTCTAGTGTATCTTGTACGTAATATGACAATTTTTAATAGTTATTATAATTAACTGTCAGAATAAAATTTACACGAGAGATTTAGAAAATATTTTTAATTTTTTTGTCAAGGTATTTCACATAAATATAAACACGACCAAAACTGGCTTGACCAACAATAAAAATGTTGTATTAACATCAGGTCGATTTGAAGAACTGTCAGAAAATATATTAATCTTTTGCTTATATTACGATGAAGATTAAACGTCAATAAAAGAATTTTAATAAAGCAAATCATATTCATTGGATAGAAACTGTTTTTCTACGTCTTGAACAGAAAGCCAAGAAAAGAAAAAAAATGGCATAAATTCTTTTATAGGCCTCGTTTCAGTTTCGGACAGTGTTTTATGAGACAACATTATAATTCTGTAGCTAAGTGAAGCATATACATGTACAGCCGTCGTCGGTTGTAACTGAAGGGGCTCTCCGCAATGCCAACGGTTTTTGCCACGAAAACATATTTATTGCGTAATTTATGTGGACATAAAAAGTCTTACCGGTGCATTGTGAGCAAACTAATAATATATGGGTACTTGTGAAACTTTCTTGAAGAGTTGCAACAAGACGGTACACCGTCGGATTATGTTTAGACTCAGCTCTCATACGTCCGCTGCCGCTTGCTGTGGTTCCACAACCGAGACGTTGAGGTGCAGTTTAATCGTTCAGCTAGAAAATCGCGTTTTCCCACTTTGTGTAATAAACGCTGCTCGAAAAATACGCCTGCGATCAAAAAAACTTCATCTGAACTTTAGATCTACTCCATCGAAAAAGCAATAAAATGGGATTTTTATTTTTAATAAAATATAGCCGAATAAGGCAGGTTGTTGTTTTCACATTTTTGGTTTGCTTGTGCAATATAATAGTCATAAATTTAAAAAAACAGTTATAAAAAACAAAAATGCGAATAACAAGCGAGTATATAATTATTATTGAAGTTTGTCGCTAAAAGTTTTCTCCATAATTTAGTCACGGGACTAAAAAAATATTTATTTATTCATTATTTTTACGGAGCGACCCAATGATGAACCTATTAGCACAATTGATGACATAGCAATATCAGTACTAAATTCATAATAAATATAAAATTTCTAAAGTACTAAATTTCAATAAATCATATGAAAATTGCTGAATAGCAGTATGATATAGACGTTAAATTTACATACAAGTCAATTGTACCCAACTTGGGACAGTTAAATGTTTTACAGATGATATCATTTAGTATTTAGTGTTTTTTAACAATACTTGTAAACATTTTACTAGTGCTGTAAATCGATTCGAATAAAATGATAATGGATATGTATATGTCCGTAGTTAAATCACCGTCCTAAGTTGGTATGATGGTAGTAACATTTTTATATTTGCTAAAATGTATACATAAATAAACATTTTTATTATCGGAATATCAAAAATTTTCCACACGTCGTCCACATTATAAACTTTCATACTATATTAAAATTTGTCTATATTTTTTAAGAGTGTACTTCAAATACAAAAAAAAACAAAATTAACGAATTATTATACAGAAATACTTTATTGTAAAAATACTTAAGATAATTTCAATACCTCGAATGAAATTTCTTTTCGAAGAATTTAAGAATTCAAAAAAAAAAAGTATTAAAATCTTTCAACTTTTTATATATAACTTAAAGATAATTATATGTGTATCAGAATTGTTACAAGATTAGAATTTAAGATTAGTAAAATACAGAAAAATGATACACTGCAAATTATATAGGCAAAATAACTACGCAACAGCATGACTGTTTAAAAGAAATGCTTAAGTTGTTAAGTTATTATTTAGTGAATTTGTTTTAATGTTAACAAATCATGTATACGTCAAGTTTTCTTGCGCAGTTTTATCAATTATTTTTAAGTAGACAACTAAATGTTAATACTTTCTTAAAATTTCATTAATTTTTAAGATTACGATAATCAAACATTAATTTTAAATTGACATAATTACAGTACTGGAATAACATACTAATAGGGAATTAGACTGGAATCGGAAGGGACTTTGTTATAAGTACTAATTCTCTAGAAATTGGTTTGGATCACGTAATAGGGTATGATGGTCAAAGTTAATGTCAATGTCTTAGTTAATTATAGTCTTGAATAAATTATTTTGTACGTTATTCAAAAAACTTTATTGCCTTTGCTCTTGAACAACATGAAAACACATTATGAGTTTAACGTTCATCATTAAAATTTGAAATTAATTTATAAAGTCACCTACATTCAAATGAGTAAAATAAAAAAATTCAATGATTATCGATGTTTACAATTAAAATCTTAACTAAGAAAAAGGTATACTCTATTAAATATTGTACACAGTAAAAAAGAAATCGTTTATGTAAAGTAACAATTATAATAAAATTAGTATTTTTTTGCAAAGTCTTACGAACCGTCAGCTTATTATACTCTCTTCCATTGTCTTGTATAAAAATACCTTTTGGACCAAGATGGTTATTGATGGTGAGTTAGCACTTATAATTTAAAGTGAATCATAAAATTAAAATTAGTGACTTCATGCTAATCTAAATTCAATTCTATAGAAAATTCAATTTTCATTGGAAAACAAATCAACTGGCGCAGTTTGTTTCCGGGAAAACTTAGTTCTTATAAAAGTCAGCAGAATTTTATAATCCCTGTTCTGAGACTTCAAACAAGCCAAAAATTCAATACAATGCTCGTATTGAATAATATATTTAATTTCTCTACATAATAATATAAAGTATAAAACTCATTTTCAGGAATTGAAGGCTAAATCTTTGCACATGTATACCGTGTACAATACGACATTATTATTGTTTATGAAAATGCGTTAAAGGTGACTATTCAGTTTTTGGTATTATTCGTGTAAAACAGTCATGCGAGGGAAATCATAACTTTATCAGTGAACATAGTTCTTTTATAGTATAAAAATATGATTGTAAACCATTTCTTTGATAATACATCTAAACGATAGATATAAAATCTTGAAACAATTCTACAAACTATTAAGATAAAATTGTTAATTTTTCTATTTTGTCATTTTTTAGCTGATTGAAATAATAAAAACAATTATTGTTTTAGCTAGTGGTTAGATATTTTCCAATATCAACTGCATCGTATTAATCATTAGAGAAATTTGAATTTTTATTGCTTAGATTTGTGACTAAAGAGTATTTTATGTTTCAAGATTTTTTTTTATAAACTAACGACCTACCGTCAAACTCATTTTTGAAAATCGTTTTTGATTCGGTCGTTACAATTTCTTTTCGATTCGTCCCCACCCTCGATCAGTACATAAATAAAATGCACTAGTGTGTTTTATATTCCACATGGGAATAACATTATGTAGTGCGTGTGCACGTGTATGTAGAGAAAATAGGTTTCTTTTATCGGCACATAAAAAATAATAGCTCAGATTCCTTATCAATAATGGGTCAAGTATTGGGGAGGTTCATTTGAATTTTTAACAATATATTATACAGTGCGCCATGGGTGACAAGTTGACAGCAAACATCATAATCTCAAGCCTCAATGAACATTATAAGTATGAACTTGAATTAAAAATCGTGTGTTTCAATTCATGTAAAGGAACACTTGAAAATCATCTTAATTTTAATAACTCATTTTTAATTCTTTCTAGTTTTCTCGGACATATAATTAAATTAGCTATACAATTACTCACATGTGTAAAATTTTGTATTTATAATGATAATTTTCATACATAATTCAGTGTAACGAATAAACAATATATAGAAAATAGATTATCATTAAAAAAAAAAAATAAATTAAAAAAAAAAAAATGAAAAATATTCACAGCTGAAAAAGTTTGTTGTTCAATTACATTTCAATCATTGTGTATTTTTTGAGTAAAGATATCTTGTTTTTTGTGTCTTTTAAAAAGTTTTAAAAAATGGACTTTGTTTCTCTCTATTAACACCTGAGATATGCTACGAGTGTAACTAAGGTAATTTAAACGACCGTCATTTTTTCATCGACATGGATAAAAATTTATTGGAGTATAAATTATTAATGTTTATCGAGAAGCATTTAAGCTAGTATGAGTTTTAAACAACAAACAAAAAATTCAATAAAAATATTTCCTTATGAAGTTTACCAATCTGTCCGCCAATTACTATAGCAATCGATCAACTGTATGCAGTTGAAATATGTAATACATGCAAACAAAATACGTTAATAATATCTCATCATAAGTGATTGATCTAAAAACAATGAATGGTCCGATGATAGCACATGCGTATGGTGCCGCCCACCGACAAAAGGAAGACACCCAATAGCTTCACGCAGCCTGTCGTGACCGTTAGTGTATAAACTACCGCCGGCTTCACTTGTACACTTAATGCATGGACATTTTTTAACTCGACGTAAACTTTAGTTGCCACGTGCTTGTGTCGAAATTTGTAAAAAAAACAACGCAGTCTCAGGGCAATAAATATACCGCGGAAAAATCATGGAGTGCTTCATCAGCTAGGATAATATAGTAGTCTGAATTGAGGACATGTTGTTATTTTCTCAACGACCAGATCGGTATCTCATCATATGGGTCTTTCAAATATTAACCGTCATTTGTGCAGGTAAGATTTTCTTATAATTTTCACATAATAATTTAATATAATCAGTTGAAAAACTTAGTGCATTTAAAATCAAACAAAAAATGTTTAAGTTTTTTTGCTTTTCATGGCCCATAGGGACCATTGCGGTTTTTCTCAAAGAGGAGCTGGTTTCTTAAACATTTGTGCTCCAGGACAGACGGTTAGGAGTCAGTTGTCGGAGAGAGGGATGGCAACCCCAATTACGATCGTATACGTTCCTCGAACGGACGATTCAAAAATAGGCCCCCTGATCTTCTAATAGACACACTCGTGACCGAGTCTCGAACATGAGTTCATGTGTATCAATGTCGTGTTACCTACTCAAATGCATCATCCCTCTATTGTATGAAATCAAACAAAATCAGAAAACAATTTTTTCAATCTAAGATGCTTTGGAATTGTATTAGTAAAAAATGTTATAACTTGAATCTTAAATTAGAAAATACCCAATTTATAAGGTTTCACATAAAAAATATTTTCGTTATAGTTTTATTAGCAGTTTAAATATGATGTCATATTAATCATTATTTTGTATATTTTACTATATATTATATTATTATATCGGGAACAATGTTACCATTATCAACACTAAAAATATACAAATTAGTTGAAACTATTAAATCAAACCGACTTTGTTTTTATATTTTTATTTTAAACTTCTTTTACTTAATATTCATAAAAACATGATTTTAAAAATAATGTGACAAAAAAATTACCAAATAATAGTTGCTCCACGTCAATCAGTGACGTAGAAGTAATAGATAAAGACATTTAATAAAATAATGCTTTAAAAATCCTACCGCTAAAATGAGCACATGAAAGACGAAAAAACGTATTTTACATCAATAATTTTCAATATTTAAATAAAAATATACAGTAAGGCGTCTGGGGTGTGTAAGTACTGTCTGAACAAAAAAAATTATTGAATAATATGTAGTATTTATAAAAAAAAAGGCCATGTTTTTTGAATTAGGGGTTAGTTCTAAATTATTTAATGATTAAATAGTTTAAAATTCATTTTGCGTTGAAGTAATTAAAACTCTTAAATAATCAATAAAGAAATTATTAATAAAATTTAAAAATAATTTCTATATTAAATGTGCTGTTGAGTACAGTAGCACCTAGTTAGAATTAGGTAACTAACCACAGTATGATTAAATCTCGTATAACCAAGATTTTTGTAATATTCATATAACTTAAACTTATAAGAGCTTGATGGCTAAGATTTTATAAGATAATATTAATATGACCCTAAACTTAAATTGCTATTCGCCAACTAGACCAGTGAGACTTTGTAAGATAATGCGAATTTAGGTTACAGATTAATACATTTTTTTTATTGTTAACAAATTTTAAACAACATAATTATATAAAAATTAACCAAATTAAAAAAATTGTGTAAAACTGAAAGTACTTTACTATCAACAATTTTTGATGGGATATTCAGATGGTTACTGACTAAAAAGTACTAAAAAGTAAAATATATTTCGAAGTATTATTTAGTATAAGAACAGGATTTATGTTACTTTAAATGGAGCCGAAGATAAAATACTTTGGGACCGTAAGCAAATGGTTCAGATAATTAATATGAACAATTTTATTGATTTTAATCAAAAGCATACCAAAGGAGAATGATAAGAGCAGAGTCTCTTCGCAATGAAAATAACGATGTAAAAAATTCAATTTCACGTTAAAGATACATTTTGAGAGTAATAACATTTTCTTATTTATACCCCCATCCTAATAAAAAAGTCCTAAGCATATCACTGAAGTTCTTTCTTTGAAAATTGATTTTAAATGTATGTTAAGATGAGTTCTAAAAACTTATTTTTAAATGCTTGACGAATATATAAATTGTACGATGTAAAAATATCGTGAGTTGTCTTGGTGATACAAAAATTCAAATGAAAATATAAAATAATAATACCAGGAACTCATGAGATCCATTGATATTACCAAATATTATTATTCGTATCATCTTGGTACGAGTATTGATTACGATCTCAACACCAAATGTTGGCGTCGACGAGCGTCCACAGCATTTCACAGGTGTCTGAAACGCACGCATTTGTGGCCATTTACAAATCACTAGAGAGACGCTGAGCACCTTCTCGAGACATTACATGTTTATGTGTGCGATCGTAATGAGATCACACGCATTAGTCCTTATGAATTCCTGGTACTAGATTTTGATATTTGTCATAAAATACTGACGTTTAGTAACTAAGGTACCAATGTTGAATATAAACAATGTAACTTCATTGTGAGATACCTCATGAGTTCCTGGTACGAAGTCTTAATCTTGCAAATTTATAACCGAGTGTCATGAATAATTTGTTAATTTATTTTCGGTAAAGGATTTTTTTCAAAAATAGTTTTACATAAGTGCGTGTCCTGCGGAGAATCTCCATCTTTCACCGTATAATTTTAACCTTAACCATCACTGAACACCTCATGGCGAAAATAATAATATTGTTATTACAGTAAAAGTGTTCTTACACACTTGACACGAGAAAAACCCTATGCGCATAACTTCGTCGAATACATTTTTTAATATCAGACATTTATTGGGTGAAATTTTTTCGAAAACCATAATCAATGCTTACTTTTCTGTAGATAGCCAGGTCCTAACTGTAGCTGTTGAATATTTAAGTGTTTTAAGTGTAGGCAAGCATACTTTTGTAAAATATGCTTTTAAAATATGAAGAAAAAATTAAAAAAGTGTTGTTTACTCATAAATATAACAGTAAAAACAAAACTTTTACGAGGATATGGTCATTGTTTTCAAGAAAAACTTAAGAAATAATGATTACAAGGTATAAAAGTTGTCGGGTAAAAGGTGTGTACTTATTAAAAAACTAGCATTGCCGTTGTACAGCATTGTGTACTAAGTTTTTTCAGTATGAAATAATACAGAAAACTCAAGTTCTTGTGAGACTGAATTACACTAAATTTAGATAGGTTTAAACAAATTAACTTTTACATGCTCATATCAAAACAAAATGTTGTTTTACAGTGAGTTTTATTACATAAAGTTGTTTAAATTTGATGAAACAAAAATTTATATTCGTCGTTACATAGAAAACAGAGCGAAATGACACAAATTCATTACCAATACCTCGTTAATGAAGTGCAACACCAAGACGTGAACATTAATTTATAAACAACACTTATGAAATAATGATTTTTAATAAATTAGAAAGTGTACTACTGGAAAGATTTTTTAATTATAGTAGTATTTTTTTGAATAAATGTATTGTATTGTAATATTGTACATAAATGTACAATATATGTTTTTAAAATATTAAATCGATAGTATAAACAGAAAAATATTTTAGACTAAAGAATCGAATTAGTTTATTGTTTATCATAATTAATATAATATTTTAAGGGCATCGGCCTTGCCTGGAGGGTAGAAACGCTTGTTTCGGGTCCCGGGTTCCATTTCTAGGGTGCCAATGAGAGTTTTTTTGTGATTTTCTAATTGGTGGTGTCTGGTTTCTGGTGCAAGTCGGTTATAATACCCATTCCGTCCATCATTGGCCTAGCCAGATCCATATTTGACTCCCTAACATGAGAAAGAGGACCACCATCTTCTGTAGCATGTTAAGTTTGGGAAATAGAATGATATAAAACTGATTGTTATTTTAATTGATATACTATTTTGAAAGACCATTGGCACGACGTAAGTTTAAATATTGGAGGTATTAACATGTTGTAACAATTAAATAACTACGAAAACATCATTTTCTCCTTACCCTACACATGCATTGCTATTACACATCTATTTCACCTGTTTATCTATTTCATAAATTTTAAAATTTTAATTTTTTAGAGCGGTAGACTTATTTAATGCCCCTATATATTTTTTTAATGAAGTCGCATCTATATATGTAATACAGGCATCTTATTCTTCTTTTTCCTCGCCTTAATCCCAATTACTTGGGGTCGGCCTCCCCTATCCTAAACTTCCCCTTGACGCGATCTCCTACATCATCTACGCTCACATCAGCCGTCTTCATATCGCATTCAATAACATCCTTCCATCTTTTTTTTTTGGTCTTCCTCTGCCTATTTTTCTTCAACATTTATTTCTATAACTGTCCTTACAGTTCCCGATTCCTCTCTCCTCTTATTATGACCAAATCATTGAAGTATATTTTCTCTTATCTTATCTACGGTTAATGCTATATCTATACTCCCTTTGTAAGTATCACAGGAAGCTATTATTTAAAAATAAAAATTCATTTAAAAAATTATGTTTTGCGTTAAATTTTAAATATTACTATCAGACTATGTTAATGATTGTTTTTATAATTTTTCTACGTCAAATGTGTTGTATAAACGTTTTTATATGTTCAAGGCATATACTTTTATAAATTGAATAAAATTAGTTTTTAAACCGGCAGGTACTTAAAACTAAATTAAGATTTGAGATACTCGGGTTAATAGAACACTACTACAGTTTCACCATTGTAAATATATACATATTTTAGAATAAAATAAATGAAATAGAATTTTAAAGATTTATTGAAGTTTTCTTTGAACTCAAGCTATGAAATTAACTGTTTGTCTCTAACATAGAGTCCAATCACAGCCTAATATATCCCGAGTATATCGTTTATTTAGAATTTAAAGTTTGATCAGTAATTTCCTTTACCATGAATAGTTTAATTAAATAAAAAATTTGTTTTTCAGATTTGTTTCAATAGAAAAATTAAAAATATAAAAGTATTGTAATCGATAAAACATACATTTAATTTTTAATGGAACAAACGAAATTTTTCGTGTACTTTAATTTGAACTAGTTTGTAGTTTGAATTTACAGTTGTTACGCTCTACGGTTGGTTTGATTTGATTTTAATTATATTTTACACTTGCAGATGCAGTAAAAATCGTTAATACGAGAATTTGAAGAAGTATTATTTTTATATTTCCATTATACAAATGAAATAGAATTTAATTAAAAAATTTTAACTTTC